CAAAATCTTGTACTCAAACACCACATAACATAAATGCTTTTCCCATTTTGTCCAAAAAGATATAACCTTTAAATAATATATTTATTTATATGTTATTAAACTAGCAAAATATTTAATTTCTTTCGAGTCATGGTGGGTTTTCCAACTCATCCATATTGAGTTGACAAACTATAACTAGTGTTGAGAATTTTTAAAAATTTTTAAATATTTTTTTTTCAAGAAACAATTGTGAAATAGGCAATCTCTATCCAAATTCTTGAAAATCTTTGTTTTGCATTGGGAAATTTTAATACATGTTATCATCTAAGGTTTGGATTTTTTTAAAAAAGTAGTAAAACAAATTATCTTTTTTATGAAATATATTATTTTGGATACATGAATTATTTGGCTTCCATTGTGCTATATTGTAATTATTGTTTTGTGCTTTGAGTGTTGTGTTGAAAGTAAAAGCGTTCAATTGTTTGAAAATGAAATGATGTGATGTATTGTTTGAAATGGAATTACTGTTAAAGACACTTCAAGACTTTTATTAAGAAACTAAATAAATTATATAAAAATTTAAAACATAGCTTCACACTAAATAAATTATAGAAAGAAATAAAGAAATATATTAAAATAATATTTTTTTATTTTAAAAAAATTATTTTTTATATTAACATTAAAATGATATAAAAATACTAAAAAAATATTAATTTGAAACAAAAAAATAAAAAAAAATTATTTTTTTTAAATACTCTTAAAATACTAAAATAAACAAAATCCAACTATATTTTCTTAGTTTAATGTGTTTTTAGATTAAATTGATTGTATATCTAGTTTTGTATATGTGATGTGATTATTTATATTTTTTATTTTTAAAAATTTATTTTTTAAAATTAGTTCATCTAAGCAATATAAATATATTTGACAAATTAATTTAAAACAGATAAATAACTTTTAATTTTTTTTACAAACACTTTCAAACCAAAAAAAAAAAAACATAACTCCTATACATCTTTGTCATTATCATTACAAAAGAAAACTCAAATAATTTGGATGGTTACCACTTAAGATATATATATATATATTTGAATTTGATTTTTGAACATACCCGCGAATGCAATAATGATTCAGACAAAACATTTCTATAATAAAAATATCAACTAAACCTTGCCAGTGGCTGGATGGAACACATGTGGTCCCAATTGAAGTCTCTTTTGCTCCCTATGCTCCTTTTCCCAGTAAAAAGACCATAATCTCCAACTACCACCACCACCTCCTCCTCCGATTTCCCAGGGATCAGAAAAAACTTCATGGCCATTTCCCCCGTCTCCTTCCTTTACTTCCTCCTCCTCTTCCTCTTGAACCAACCATCATCATCATCATCATCATCGGACCATCCACAAACCTTCATCATCCACGTTTCGAAATCCCACAAGCCCTCCCTTTTCTGTTCTTACCATGATTGGTACACCTCTATCATTCAATCCCTCCCTCCTTCACCTCAACCTGCCAGGATCCTCTACAACTACAACCATGCCATCCACGGCTTCTCAGTCCACCTCACACCCACCCAACTGGCAAAGCTCCGCCTTGTGCCGGGCATTCTTTCAGTCATTCCTGATCAAATTTGCCAACTTCACACCACGCACACCTCTACTTTCTTAGGCCTATCAGAAGGTTCTCGCCTTTGGCAAAATTCTGGTTATGGTGATGGTGTGATTATTGGAGTTCTTGACACTGGAATATGGCCTGAACATAAGAGTTTATCGGATTCCGGTCTGTCTGATGTTCCTGCCAATTGGAAAGGGATCTGCGAGACAGGACCTGACTTTCCAGCCTCTTCTTGCAACAAGAAACTTATTGGCGCCAGAGCTTTTTATAAAGGCTATATTACTCATAAAGGGAGGCCTATTGATGAATCAAAAGAATCTGCATCTCCAAGAGATACTGAAGGTCATGGCACACACACAGCAACAACTGCAGCTGGATCTTTGGCTCATAACGCGAGTCTTTTCCAGTATGCAACAGGAGAAGCTCGTGGTATGGCCTCAAAAGCCAGAATTGCTGCTTACAAGATTTGTTGGAGTTCAGGTTGTTATGACTCTGATATTCTTGCTGCGATGGATCAGGCTATCTATGATGGAGTCCATGTGATTTCTTTATCTGTAGGTGCTACTGGTCATGCTCCTCAATATGATCATGATTCGATTGCGATTGGGGCTTTCAGTGCATCACAGCATGGAATTGTTGTGTCTTGCTCTGCTGGGAATGCAGGACCAGGTCCATATACTGCTGTTAATATTGCTCCATGGATTCTTACTGTTGGTGCTTCAACAATTGACAGAGAGTTTCCGGCCGATGTAGTCCTGGGCAATGGATGGGTTCTTAGTGGGGTCTCACTCTACTCTGGTGATCCACTTGTTGATTACAAGCTTCCTTTGGTGTATGCTGGTGACGTTGGGAGCAGGTATTGCTATATGGGGAGTATAAGTCCATCAAAAGTTCAAGGGAAGATTGTGGTATGCGATCGCGGAGGGAATGCAAGAGTGGAGAAAGGAGCTGCAGTGAAGCTTGCTGGTGGGCTTGGAATGATCTTGGCAAACACTGCAGATAGTGGTGAGGAGTTGATTGCTGATTCTCATCTTCTGCCGGCTACTGAGGTTGGTGAAATTGCTGCCAATAAGATTAGACAATATATCAAATCGGACCAGTCTCCTACTGCAACAATTCTGTTCCGTGGAACAATAATTGGGTCTTCACCTGCAGCTCCTAAGGTTGCTGCCTTTTCAAGTCGTGGTCCAAATTATTTGACTCCGGAGATTCTGAAGCCAGATGTTATTGCTCCTGGTGTTAACATCTTGGCTGGTTGGACTGGATTCGTTGGACCAACAGATTTGGAACTTGATCCTAGAAGGGTTGAGTTCAACATAATATCAGGTACCTCAATGTCTTGTCCTCATGTTAGTGGAATTGTTGCTCTGCTTCGAAAAGCATACCCGGATTGGTCCCCAGCTGCTATAAAATCTGCTTTAGTGACCACTGCTTATACTTTAGACAATTCTGGCAAGAATATCAAGGATCTTGCTAGTGCTGAAGAATCAACACCCTTCATTCATGGAGCTGGTCATGTTGATCCCAATAGTGCTCTTGATCCTGGACTGGTGTATGATATGGACACAAGTGACTATATTTCATTCCTTTGTGCAATCGGTTATGATTCTAATCGAATTGCAGTGTTCGTCAGAGAGCCTCCTAGTTCGGACATATGCAGTGGAAAAGTGAGCAGTCCAGGCAATCTCAACTATCCATCATTCTCTGTCGTTTTCCAGTCTACGAGTGATGTGGTTACTTGCAAGAGAGTGGTGAAAAATGTTGGGAGTTCTCTTGATGCAGTTTACGAGGTTAAAGTGAATTCTCCGGCAAATGTTGACATCAAGGTATCACCAAGTAAGCTTGTGTTCAGTGCAGAGAATAAGACCTTGTCCTATGAGATAACCTTCTCCAGTGTTGGCTTGGATTGGCCTACCATTATCCCATCAACATATGGATCAATCGAGTGGAGCGATGGAATTCATGGAGTAAGAGGTCCAATTGCTGTCAAGTGGCGTCAAGGATCATCCAGGGATTCCATTTAAGATTTGGACACGGGAGAAGTTATTTGGAATGGATTCAAACTTTGGGGCATCGTCTGCCTCGTGTACAAGTTATGTGATCTTGATTTAAGTTTTAATTTTACCAAGATTTCAATCTGGAGATTGTGGAATGTAACGTAACGATACTTTCCACAGTGAGTTAGATCAAATAATGCTTTAATTGATTCTGCAATTGTAATGATCAAGAGTTTTAAGCTGTAATGGGTTATGCGATAGAAAAGAGAGTAAATGAGGAGCGACTTCTGCCTGTTTTAAGCTGTTGAAGATTATCAACCGTTCATACACGCAGGTGTAATGGGTTATGCGATAGAAAAGAGAGTGAATGAGGAGCGACTTCTGCTTGTTTTAAGCTGTTGAAGATTATCAACCATTCATACACGCAGGCATCTCCATCTCCATGATCTTGTGGGAAAATGCCTGCATCCGAAGTCACTAGGTGATGAAAAAATACACCCGCAAACACATAGCCTCTAGCTTTACTTCATGTATTTGTTTATTTTGATGAATGACAAGCTAAGATCTATAGCTTTGACAGAGACTGATAATTCAAATGCACCTCCATGGTCTGTCTACACCTTACGGGGAAAATTACGCACATCACCAAGTACGTTGGTGATGAGAGAGAGAGAAAATGCACGAGGAACTAGTCGAGCTCTTTTTTTCTCGAAAATGGTTGAATGAGTAGCTAGCCAATTCAAGTGGGACATAGAGCTTTAGCACCATACAATTAACGATATGGAAAGGAGAAGGGTAGTGTAGTTGTGAATGATAACGCATCGCATCAACGACGCTTTGGCCGAGTGGTTAAGGCGTGTGCCTGCTAAGTACATGGGGTTTCCCCGCGAGAGTTCGAATCTCTCAGGCGTCGTCTCATTTTTACCTCTTTTTTTTCTTTACCAGGTCTTGCTGATTCGTCTGCCTTAATACTGCATTTTATGAACACCTCATATTTACTACGGTTGGAATTTGGTAATTGTTTATAGCACCTCATCTTTTCAACTCCGCTTGCATTCAGCAGGTAAAATACAAGCCATGCAAATCTCTCACAAGAACCACTTGGTCAACCAGCACTACTAACTTTTGACCATTTGATCTACTTAAATGCTTCTCAAGGTGATTCACATATTGATCACTTTGAACCTGCTTCCACACCATAGAAACTAACAATTAACCAGGTCAATCGTTTGTTTTTTGGCTCCTCCGAAGGCCATCAACAAGGAGTTGTCAGACGGGACCTATATATAAAACCAGTCTGCAGTCAAAACAATTTGACTTTGGGTTTAGGCATTTGGAGAAAACAAATCTCCACTCCGAGACTGCACAACTGCAAATCTGATCGTCACATGAATCTGAGCACACAAACAGTAGAGCAAACTGCACAACATCTCATGACATAAAGTGGGTCTAACAGGAAAAACTTCAGAATACAAATACTAAAAATGTTCCGATATGTTTCTTATAACAATCTAACATAATGTCAAGTCATTAGAGACATCTCTGCCTGCAGGTTTTTTGACTTCCAAGTGCTGGCCTAAAAGAAGCCCATCCAGCTGTTCTGCTCGCTCCATCAATTTTAGTGGCCATACTTCTGGAACTCCCACTCGCTATTATCTGCAAGCGTGAAATGGCCAAATAAGTGCTGAGGTGTTTGATAGATGAAATTAAAATAAAAAATAAAAAAAATTATGCATTCACTACAGCATACCAAGAGGGCACACTTGGCGGGTTTTGAGCCATCGGCTGATACAGTGGAAGTGGAAGGCATGATTGCACACTCCTGTGGTAGCACAAACCAAGTCTCTTAGCACATCTAAGCAAATTGACAGCAAATAAAACACAAAACTACAGGACAAACTAAAGCAGTACATCCGAATTGATCACATAAGCAATACTGTTGAACCTTCACATCCACCAACAGAAACATGAATACACCAATACAGATAGAAATTTGTTACGGTTATCAATCAATACAAATAGCCATAGATAGAAGGGGGGGTTGGCTAGAGAACAAGCATCTTAACCTACCATTTCTAACCCATATCTTTGAGAGCTAAAATTAAACAAAATCAAGATCTCCCTTTGACCCCCACCATTCTTGTGGATTTCCAAAAACTATACCATGAATTTTACAAATTCACACATGCCAAAAAAAGAAGAAAGAAAGAAAGAAAGAAAAAAGAAAGAAAGAAGCAGAATATAAGGCCAACAGATTTCTCTTTCCTCCTAAAGTGCCATCTAAGAAACTTAAGGCAATGACCTCAATCAGGTTGATATCAAATAGCAAGACCGTACCAGACAAGGCACACAGGACCACAAAGGAATTGCTTATGAATGTACCACAAACTAAATTCGGTCGCGGGGACATAATTGTTGTAATTGTTGCATATCATTACCTTATTTAACACACCTAAAATATAAATGGTTATATTTCAGTTAGATATAAACCAACATGGTTGCAATTTGATGTGCTCAAATTAACAATCTATTCCCAAGAGAAGACTACCAATCAATGCATGCTATATCCAGGGAGAATCTTAAAAAAAATATAAATAAAAGGCCTATGACAACTGCAGCAACTGGGACAATTAGCATAAGAGAATGTTCTAAGTCGCTTGATATTGATGGTGAAAATATCTTGAAACTGAAGTCTAGTAGATAAAAGAAAGAATTCTCCAAACATCAAACTCACAAAAAGACCAACTCCTTGAAACAGACATAATGGCAGTCATCAACACCTAAAGGCAGACATCCTTAGGTTTAGGACTTTCGGGTAACTATCCAAACACACAACCATAGGAAACTCCTAGTAGGTCTTGGACATATTCGCCCTTTGATTTCTAAATCTCTTCAAAGAAGATACAAAGAGAACCACATAAATAATTAAAACCATACCAAACACATAAAACTCTGCCACGCTAATCTAACAAACACTGTCACCGACAATTATAAAGCCCCCATCACATCAAATCCGTGTTCAATGCAAATAATAAAGTCGCAAAAAGGTACACCAAGCTCAGTACATGCAGTCATGAAACCAAGCTCAAAACAGAGAAGGAGAATCCAAATTACCAATCCATGAGAAATCCCTAAATTCAAGAAAGAAGAACACATACCCCAGGCAACAGTGCACTCCTCGCTTGTAGCACTCGCTTGATTTGCTTGACACTCAATGCCTACACAAAAATACATACATACATAAATAAATAAATAAATAGAAAAACGAAAACCCTGGAAATCTTGAAAGAGAGAAAGCAAGAGACATACAAAGATCCATGATATGATTCCTACAAATAGCGCAGTTATCCACAACAATATCTGCAAACCCATCAAATGATTAACACAAAAACATGAAGAAAGTAATTAAAATAAAGAAAGTAGGTATAATCAAAGAGACAGACCCCAAGCCCAAAGAGCGACAGCATTCCACTTCTTGATTTCGAATCGCTTCGGTTTCCTTGAGGAAGACGAACTGGCCTCGCCTGCCGTAACCATCGTCACGTCCGTGTCCATCTGGGCTTGGGTTCTAGAGAGCGCGAGAGAGAGTTTTTGGTTTGTTCTTTTCTTTTCTCTTGCGAAGGCAAAAAGACAAAAAATGGGGTAGGAACGAAGAAAATCAAAAAGGAGCGTGAGAAGGTGGATTAATCATGGGGTTTTCTTTTTTACCAGCGTGGTACTGATTATTTATCCGAGTCATATGTTTTTACTAGAGAAATTGGAGGTGGTTTTCAAATTTGTTTTTATTTAGTTTTTTTTTACCGTCAAAATAAATATTTATAAAAAGACAAAGAAAAGTATATACTTTACTAGAAGAATTATTTTTCTTTTATTCATGCATTTTTTTTGTTTTTTTTGTTTTTTACTGAAACATGAGTTTCTATTAATAGCATGTTTTTTTAAATAAAAAGCATAGGCAATTGAAATAAATTCTTGTAAGAATATTAATAATTTGAAATAAGTAAAAAATATATCTCTTTAATCCAGATTTTTTTTATTAGTGCATTTTTTTAATGCAATTTTTTTATTAGAAATGTTATTTTTTAAATGGAAAACTTATTATGATCTTAAATATAAGCTTTAATTAAAAAATATTAAATATCATTTCTCTAATATTTTGTATGAAATTAAGGGGGGGAAATAATAAATATAAAATTATGTAAAACATATTATAAAAAATAAAATAAAATTTATTTTTATTGAATATTTATAATCACATTTGAAAACAAAATATATTAGATTCATATATAATGATTAATAAAATAATTGTTAATATACAACGAAAAGCTTAATCCTATTTGAAATTCATGAAATAAAATAATATAATGATTTTAATTGAATACTATTATTTTATTTATAGTGTATTGTAATAATAATTAAGAAAAAATACAAAGGTAAATATATAAAGATACAAACCACTTATACCTCGAAGGATAGTAACATATTTGACCCAATACAATTAACCTTTATCATCTTTGACCCAATACAATTAAGCCCTAGCACTCACGAGCAAGGCTTGCATGCTTTTTTTTTTTTAAATTAATATAAATATTTGGATTAATTTTTGTACATCTCAACTAATTTTATAAATTTTAAAATTAATAATTTTAAAAATTTTCAATAATTTTAAAATTTATGAGATTTAAACTAATAATCTCTAAAAAATAAATTTAAAATTTAATCAATTGAATTACACAATTCAAAATTAGTTTTTTTTTTTTTAGTGAATAAATAATACAACATTAATTTTATTTTTAAAAAAATCAATGTGTTATTAACCGATTAAGATTTTGAATTAAAAGCATTGATAAATAAGTGAAAAAAAACTGAAAATTAAATTGAATAAAAAAATAATTTAAATCTATATCTACTTTTCCAAGATAAAATTTTCAAAACTCTTTGATGGTAACCCTCTCGAAATAATAAACTAATCGATACAAAAATTGACTAGTTTTGTGGCTAATATATGGTCAAGCAACTCCATTCTCTACCATTAAATTCTTTTTTGTTGATTTTCTTTTTCCTCTCGGATGAAATGTTTTAAAAAATACAGTTTAGAATCTAAATTTAAAAGCTTAGAATTAAAGGGATAAAAAATTGCATAACAAAGATTTTTTGCATAAAAATGAAGTTATTTTCTCGAACTATAGCGATATCATGGGTCATTTTTTGAGATATCTTTTCATCAAGTTCTTTTACAAGTAATATAATTTATATTTAAGAGATACTATACTCATACCTATTTCAAATTATTTAAGTTTTTTAGAACATTTTTTTTAGCTGTCGTTATCTTTATTAAAAAATTATGTTGTTAATAATTTTTGTTTTGTTTTATTCCAATAAAAAAATAAATAAAAATAGAATAACTTGTTTCATCTAAAATTTAAATTGTTGTTTATGAGATACAAATATATATATATATGTGTGTGTGTGTGTGTGTGTGTGTATGTATAATAAACAACAATAAATAATAAGCAATAGTTTGAATAATATATTTCTCTACAGTTTTAAAAACTATAGAGAAATTGAATAATAATTTGAATATTATTTTAATTATAATGGATTTTAATAAAAAAAAAAGATAGAGGAAAACAAAAGATATTAAAAAAAAAAACTAAAAGGTTATAAAAATAAGTTAGGCGTGCTTGGTTAATAAAAGAAGGCCACAAGCATGGGCCTGTGAGGTTTGGCGCCGAGAACCCACCTTATTATTTTTTGGGAAAAGAAATAAATGGATGACATGTTGTATGTAATGTATATTTTGAATATCTCCAATAATTGGAAAGTTAGTTTAAAAGTTTTTAGGTTCTTAAAACCTATTTAAATATTTTTTCATTTAAAAATACCAAATAAATATTATAGACACTATATTGACCCATTCTAATATAAAAAAATCCTTAAACTTGTGGTAAAAAAACTTCAATTAAATTGAATAATTTTTTTTTCTAAGCTCTGATATATTTTTTCTATAAAAATAAAAGTTTTAGAAAACCTTAATGATATTATTATTGATATCAAAATTGGTTTTTTATGGTAAAAAAGTGACAAATTGTTTTTTTTCTTTTTTTCCCTAGCAATTTGCCATTTGTTTAAAATCCAGGAACTCACATGGTAAACAAATAATGTTTAGGATCTAATCATGCCTTGTAGAAACCATAATGACCGAAAATCAATAAATTTAAATGAAGTTTTTCATGCAAAGTCTAAAAGTGTGATATTTTTTTGAATTTTAGTTCTGATCCTTATTTTTTAATAGAATTTTAAATTATAAATTAAAATACTATTTCAATACATTGATCTCTAATTCAATTTTTAAAATTTTCAAGATACTTTAAATTGAAAAAATTATAAAGAAAGAAAATCTCAACACATAAAATGTTTCATCAGAATGGCAGCCATAACCTCAATTAAAAGGCAGTGCTAGATTTTACATCAGGAACAAGAAGGACTCTAAACTATTTACAAAATCATGATTGTGCATTGTAGCATAAGCTTTGGCTCCCTACTATCTCAGATGTAGTTGCAAATGCCCACAGCAGTTCGTATACTTTGCCTTTGTGTATGAAAGATGATGCCCGATGTAGTTTTTGGCTCATGTCAATGGCATCAGCATTCTTTGCAAGAGAATTCAAACTGGTTAGGTGTTTGAAAATATAATAGTAGTTGTTTTTAAAAATATTATTTGTTATTTTAATATATTAAAATAATTTAAAAATATTAAAATATAATAATTTAAAGCAAACAAATAAAAAGAATTTTTAATTATTTTTAAAATATTTTTAAATATAAAAATAAATAGATAAACATCGCATTTTCATAGCATCGCTGCTGGCACCCACTTGAAGAACGACCACAACAAACCAGATGATGACCATTTCCAAACATTTTCATTTGTTCTTATGCCAACGAAAATGGACTTTCAGAATCATCCAAATCCAGTTCAGCTTCTCTTAATTTAACTTTCTTTCCTTTATGCTGCTTCAGCTGCTCCTGGGGACCTATCTCCTTTCTATGTTCAGAAAAAGACAACCTTTCTTGAAACACCTCTACATTATAAAAAAAGAAATCTTTTGTAAGGGGTTTTAAATTCGGTTAAAAAAATCATTTCACTTTAAAACTTAATCTATTAGATGAAGTTTTAAAATATAATTTATATTATTTTTACATATACATCCTCAAGTGAAAGCTCTTTGGGCTTAAAACTTGCACATGTTTATATTACCCTATGCTTAATTTTTTATTAAATAAATAGAGATAATGAGATTTAAACTTGTGTTCATTAAATAGAGATGATGAGATTTAAACTTGTGTTAAAACAATTTAAAAAACATAAAAATATAATTTTTTTTGTAAAATGTTATTTGTGTCAAAAAAACCATTTCAACATAAAAATTTAAGCTATTAGATGAAATACCAATATATAATTTATATTATTTTTTAACATATTTTTTCAAGTGAAAGACTTTTTTGAGATTAAAATTTATACAAGCTCATATTTTATTGTGTTTTATTTTTATCAAATAAATAAAAATAATAAAATTTGAACCCGTTACTATTTAGTCATTAAAGTTTAAATATCATGCTAAAAAATCAGCTTAACTTTAAAATTTAAATTATTAAATAAAATTTTAAAATATAATTTATATTATTTTTTAATAATTTAAACCATGTTTCCAAACTGCACTTAAATATTAGAAACCAAGCTCAATGTTGGTTGATTATTTGGTAGATGTTGGTAATTAACGAATGACAATGGGCACTTGTATTTACCAAAACTGAACGTATATTGGTCGAGCTATTGCCATGAAAGAATGAACATGAAAGTTTACAATCTCAAACATTTATTTCAACTCCAAAGCCCATCAAAATCTCAGATTTCCAGTGCAGTCTGTACTGAAGAAATTGTTGGATAAACTTTTCTTTATGTATTTTTTTTATTTGACACTAAATATATTATCAAACCAGATTGTACGTAAATCAATTTTTTTTCCAGATTATTTTAAAAAAATACGTACGTATTTTATCCTTAAAATACTCAGATCCAAAATTAGAAGGGTTTGTACACGAGCTAAAGTACAAGGATGCAAAGCTTAAATAAAAAATTATACGACTCATGTCATCATGTGAATAATTGAATAAGTTTTCTCTTTTATCATCCAACCAATTCATATTAATAAAGTTTTAATTAAGTATTACTGATGAACCTAACCAACCCACCCAGAAAATTAGATCACATGAAAATTACTGATCACCAAAGCTTTTGGACTCCTCCAGTAGTTAATTGCAGGACCAGTCTGCAGAAACGGGGACCGATGAAAAATGGAAGCATTTATTTGAATGGTCACAATACTAGCATCCTAAGAGATCGGCTTGCTATATATCCGTCATAGTCTGCGTTCAAAATACATGTTCGATAGCTAATAGGAAATTTGTATACATGCTCTGGTTTCTCAATCAAAATAAAATTTGAGCTTTCTTATTGGTTAACTACTTGAAAATTAACAAATACAAATAGATATATCAATGAAATATTTTTATTGATAGATTGCAGTGAATTTTTCCTACTAAATATGCCCTCATAATTACCATTAGTAAACACCGATAAAAATATTTTTTTGATATACACTAAGAGAATTATGTGTAAAAAAAAAAAAGAATGAAAAAAAAAGCTAAGAAGTACAATGCCATGTATTTTTACAAATAGAATTACCGATAAAAAATTCATCTATAATATTTAATTTATTACTGGATGAGCAACTCTCCTCTCTCTCCTTCTCTATTTTTTATTTTTCCTCTATTTTTCTTTGCAACAGACAACACCCCCCAACCTCCAACTACAAATTCGATCATTCCAATACCCAGTTTGTCAACATCCCTATTCTGATTCAAATTTTATTAAAGATTCTCCACTTCAAGTAAGCAATATTACTTATTTTTTATTTGAACTCAATTTTAAAATGTTAATTTTTATTGTTTATTTTTATTGTATATATATTTTGTTTAGGTGTTTACTTGGTTTATAGCTTTTTTTCTTAGAAATTTATTGTATGAATATATGATTTATACATGTTAGGGTTTGTTTGAGATTTTATAAAATTATATTTATTTGTAAATTAATGAAATTTAATTTGAACTTGTGACTTAAGTATTTTATGATGAAATAAATAATGGCTTATTTAACGAGCTCGTTTTATTGTTGAGTTGATATTTTTGGTAAATATATAGAAATATGAATTTATGTATATAATTGATAATGAATTAGTTATACAATTAAAATAGCTTGAATATGTATGAGTTAAACCAATGATCTGTTATTTATTTAGTTTATGTAATTAATTAATATATGTTGTCATTAATATTCTATATAGGTTTCACACATAAGTAAGGGATGATCATTCATCATGTATCAATATTCACCAAAAGAGTTATGTAAGATGAATTATTGTAATGAGGTTCAGGATTTTATTAATTATGCATTATCTAATTAAAAAATATTAACGATGATGGTATTAGATGTCCATGTAAGAGGTGTAAAAATAAAAAATTTCTTAACCCATATATATATATATGTTGGTTTATACATGAAGAACTATATGTTTCTCATAAAACCATGGTAGAAAGGATAGTTAGGTTAACTTCTAGTTCTAGCAATGTGCATGGAGTTGTAGATGATAATAATAATCATTATAGAAATATGATTATTAATGTGATGGGAAATAATCAGGGTTTGTCGATCTCCAATAATAGATGAAGAACTTAATGCAGGCATGATCATGTTTTTGATCTTTTAAAAGACTCCGAATATGAGAATAAATCAAAGTTATATCAGTCAATGCTCAATAGTAGATGAAAAACTTAATGCATACACGACAATGTTTTTGATCTTTTGAAAGACTTCAAAGAACCATTGTGGAACGTGTGCCCAAATCACAGTAAATTATTGACTGTTGCACAAGTGTTTACCATAAAATCATATTATGAGTTAAATGAGGCTATTTATGAAAAAATTGTTGAATTGATTAAAAACATTTTACCTGCAAGGAATAGGCTGAAAGAGAACTTTATGATTCTAAATCCATGATGAAACTTCCCGATCTAAGATACTAGAAAATTGACATGTATCCAAACCTTTGGATGTTGTACTACCTTGAAAATACAGAGTTAACCGAGTGCAGAACATGTGGGCATGCTCGTTATAGACCTAGAACTAGTAGGGAAATGACTTTTATTGCACATAAGAAACTTAGATACTTTTTTATCACACTTAAACTGCAAAGGTTATTCATGTCATAAAAAACTATTGAGTATGACATAATTCAAATGATATGGTAGATGAAGTTAGGGTCCACCCTTCTGATGGTGAAACTTTGAACATTTTAATAGGATGCATCCTTAATTTTTAGTGAAATCAAGGAATGTGTGTTTTAAATTATGTACAGATGAATTCAACTAATTCGGGTCATTTTGCTGCTCCTTAATTTATTTAACCGATGATACTCATAATTTATAACTTGTCACCAGGGATGTGTATGAGGCCGAAGTTCATGTTTTTATCTATGTTCATACCCGATCCTAATAGTCTAGGTCGGAATATAGATGTTTGTCTTGGTTTGTTAATTGATGTGTTGAAAAAATTATAGTCATTTAGGCTTTGACATATGATATATCGAGAAAATAAAATTTTCCACTTATAAATGTTGTATTTGAACATAGATTAATTGTATTTGAACTTATAAATGTTTAAATTTATAATAAATATTTGAGTTTTATATTTATTTAATTTTTAATTATTTATTTATTTTTGTTTAATAGATTTTTTTTAAAAAATATTTTTAAATTATTACTAACGGGGTTACTAAAGGGCTTATTTCATCAGTATATTTTAGAGAGTTAGGAAAAAGTTATTATAAATACCATTGTCACTGTTTAATCACTGACAGAATAACAAACGGATTGTATGATGATTATATGTCAAATTCCTCTATGGAAATACGCCAGAAAAAAAATCATCGATTAAATGACATATAATTTTTCTGTTGGTGATATGTTATATTCAACAATGAAAATACTAATAGAATGAAGCGGATAATGTTTTTTGGCGTGCTTTGTCCATAAATAAATTCATTGATAAAATTATTACTAATGGATTCACCAACGGACCACAAATCACAAATAATAAATTTCTTGATGGATTAGTTTTTTTTTTTTTAGATTAACGTGGGTGTCCGGGTCAGTTTGCGCGCACCACGACTAATCCCACGGGCCCTGAAGTTAACGACCATGTAAGCCTCCAGTGACCATCATATGAGCAACCAAGGACTCGAACCTGAGACCACAGAGGGAGCAAACCCCTTAATCCCAAGTCCTTACCACTTGACCACCACCTAGATGGTTAATAGATTAGTTTTATTCATGAGCTTGTTGATAAATTTTATATTAATAAGCTATAAGTATAAATACTGATAAAAAAAATTTGTCCATATATCTTAAAATTTTGGTAGTGGTTAACCTTGTTTGTTGGGATGTTATTTAAAAACTAAGAAAAAAAAAAAGGATTGAGGATCAAGAAATAGAAGACGAGAAAGAGGCTGTCATGATCAGAGTGACATAACCAAAAATGCACTTTCAGCGAGATTAGGATGGTTTGGATGTCAAATCACTCATCTGAGAGGCATGAATATTGTGAAGTAACAATTGATATGGACATTTTCTTTGTCTCGGGACATTGTGGACGCGAATAAGATGCCGCTCGCTCTGCTCATTTGTATGGAGTTTCGGACGACAATATCACAGTTACAATTACAATAGTTGCAAACAAAACTAAAAGATCCTAAGCTTTCTTTTTATTGTGTTCTTGTCTCCTAATGCTGAGTGAAGAGAGAAAAACTCATAAGAAAAAAAAAAACAAGAAAAAATAACTTTGGTTGATTACATTTCAACTTTGAAAAAATTAATCTTGATATTAATAAGTTTATTTTAAAAATAATATTTTAATGGAGATAATTTAATCCTTTAATAATGTCAAAAAAATATATATCAAGGCTCACAATGTTATTTTTTTTTTTATTCGGTTTGACTTTAAGTTTTAAACCAATTAGAGGGTTCTTGGCCGTCGAAATGGATTTGTAGCCTTTTCTGTAGGGTAAAAAGAGTTAAAATTTAGATTTTTAGGATCTAAATTACATAAACTCCGATTTTCTAGCCGCTGGAGGTGGTCAGACTTTGTTATAGCTGGAGATATATTTTTTACCCAGATAAATAATGTGTCATCCCAATCGTTAATATATATATATATAGGTTAAGAGGTCTTTCAACCCAACAACAACTGGCTGTAAAATCGTTTCGTTTGATAGTCGATCTTTGATGGTCTATTATCATCATCAAAAGAAAATCAAAACATATGAGGAAAACAGGGTTTTTTTTTTTTTTTGAAGTTCCATTAATGTACATTGATCATGTGGAGATGGGAAATGCAATTAATTAATGTTTATACTTGTAACCACTGTACTGTACTCGTCTCAACGGTGTTAAGCCTCGACTCTCAAGTGAGGCCATGCGCTACTTTATCATATCCTTCAATTTCCCCCTCAAGTCAGACCAACCACATCTAATAATATCCTGACCTCTCCCTTCACATAAGTTCTCTCCCACATCTCGTTCCTTTCCTGCTAGATCACTGATCACATGGCTCAAGATCATCACCGAATCCCTCCCAGGAACACCGATCTCACCACCACTTCCCGGTGGCCACTTCGACGGAGACTTTCCCTACGTAGGCGTAAACCGCCCATAATACGTCTAGGAGGAGAGAAGCCTCGACGACGAAGGATGCTTTTATTGAGGATGTTAAGAGGAACGCGGTTGAGGTGGCTAAAACTGCGATACCTATGCATGTTCAAGAAGCTTAAGGAATGTTATCGTAATTTTATCAAGGATCTGCCGGTATCTGGAGTGACTATAGAGGCTTATCAACAAAGGCTTTTAATGGAGACCTCTTTTGCTGTTCCTGGCATGGGTATTACTTTCTCCAACTTTCTTTCCGTCCAGGCTGGATCCAATCCCTCTCGATCATTCATGGCGTAAAATGTGTTTTTTAAAAAAAAAAAACTCCAATCCCTCTCGATCATTCATGGCGTAAAATGTGTTTTTTTTTAAAAAAAAACTTATCGTAATTAAGTTTAATTTCAATAATGTTAGATTAATTGTGAATCTTTTCTCTCTTTCTTTAATTCCTAATATTTTCGTTTTCTTTTATATTAATTGTAGTATTGGATTCTGTCTCGTTTATGATTGCATTTACATAAAGGATTATGTTTTATTGATCATTTGATGGAAAAGAAAATAATAATATATATGGTAGAAAATCTAAAAATAATAATATATCGTTTTCTATTATTCTATACAATCTCTTCGAATTATAAGTGTTTTTTTTTTTTTGGTTGTAGAATTAAAAAAGAGTTAGCATTTTTCGGGTCTGTATGGAAAAATTGAGGCTTTTAACTATGATGCTTGTGAACTTTGAAAAACTATAAATTAAAGTTTCTGAAGATAACACATGGAAATGCTTGTGATATTAGCTTTTAAAGTATTACCAAACATTTCAAGCATAAAGCCACATCCAAAGGAGTGATTCTCAATCGAGCACTTATTGTTCTAGCTATTATAAAGGCAAATATAAATGCACTATACATGGATTGCTATGGTACATATTATAACTAATTATTTATAAGCGTATAAAAATACAATTTAGTTCATAAATGTTGTTTATTTTTATATATTTGGTTTATGTAGTTTTAGATAGCTATATCTTGTTTTTAAATTTTATTTTTATTATATTCTAATTCATGTTAAGAGATGAAAGAGAAAGTTATAGAAAAACGAAAAAGGAAAGAGAAGGCATTTGGCTAGCAACATTCTGGAAATAGAAAGGATGATTTTGTTGTTAATCAATGTGTTCACCTTGAAGAAGATAGTTCTATGAATATAATTTTGCTCTTTAATCTATTTTTTTATTTTGTTTGTTTTTTTTATTTTTAAAATGATTATGAAGTGTTTTAAGTTGGAAATGAGATCATTAAAGCTTTCATGATATTTATTTGGGTTTTTTAAAAAAAAAAATAGGATGAGTTTTGGATTTCAAGGATTCAAATTACCCAAACTCTAATTTTCAGCCTTCTCTAATGGTTAAAATTTGTTACACTAGGTGATACAACATTTATCTCCATAGATGACATATCATTTATGCATTTATGAAAGAAAAAAACTTAAGCATATGAATTGTCTTCCATTTTTGTTAAAGATAAATGAAACAATCATGCAAATTTATGCCTTTTCCTTTTTAAACCTAGATATTAGGGGTAAGCAAAAAAACTAAAAAATCAATTAAACCAAGAAAACTGGATAAAAATAACCGAAAAAACCAAATTGTGAAAAAAACTTATTAAAATTTTGCAAACATCTACCGGTTCGGTTCGGTTTCTGTTTTATAAGTCTGAAATAAATAAAAAAAAACCGAGCCAAACCTAAACTGAAAAAACCGAGCCAAACTGAAAAAATCAAGCCAAACTAAGGGTGAGCAAAAAAACTAATAAGCCGATTAAACTGAGAAAACCAAACAAAATATAACCGAAAAAATCAAATAAAAAAAAACTGAATTAACCGATCAAAAAATCACAAAAAAATTCCAGTTCAGTTCGGTTTTGGTTTTTAAAGTCTGAAACAGATTGAACTGAACCAAACCTAACTGGTTCAACCAGACCACCACTTGAAAAAAAACAACTATAAATATCATGCTTTTTTCTAATCCTAAACCTAAAACTTAAACTTTGCTTTTTGCATTCCCTCCCCCCTTCTCTATGCATCTCTCCCCTCCCCCTCCCCTCCCCCTTCCTCTTTCTTTGCAACTCTCCCCTTTCTTTCTCTTTACATCTATCCTCTTTAATTGGCGAAAGAGACTGAGTTGGATCAGTCACCATTGAGAGCGAGTTTAGGGTTTTTTCTTGGTGGGTTTGTGATGATGGCTTGAAAACGAAGGAGAGGGAA